AAAGTGTATTTTTACGCTAGAGTCACGCTGGGCTGGAGAAACTCTTAGTAACTACATTTACATATTGTACAGGTTACAGGTTACAGTAACTCTTACCTATCTATAACACCATAGCTAATGTTGAAACCTTTCGAACCTATCGATCCTAATCACCATAACCTTATCGATCCAAGTTTCTCCAAGCTTCAGACAATCATATCAAAATTATCGGACAAAATAAAAGTTAATTTCCCACATTGATAAGAAATGCAGCCCAATCTTTTGTTTTGCTTGCTTAACCTGCAAAAAGCTGCAGTAGTAAATTACACACAGAGACAGATAGGGAGATACTCGAAGAGAATTGAAAAAAAGGAACAAAAAAAAAAATGTGAGAGAAAGACAGAGAGGCGTTCCGTTTGAATAAGTAGACTTACAATTACACGGGATTCAAGTGCCAATTGATTTTCAAACAATCACAATCGATCAAATCCCCAACCTTATTTAGAGCTGCATATCTGTGTTTCAACAGCAAACACCGAGAGCTTTCTGCTACCTTCTGATGCTTGCTACTCTTTTTGCGGGGCAATTTTCTTGAAATGCTCTTCCATTTTGATTCAAATGCGTAAGCTATATATAAAAAGGCAAAGAAGCCCAGTGAACAATAATACAACAGTTAAATAAAACTAACACTTACCAAATCAAAAAAAGGTACCGTGACTCAATTCTATTAAAAAATAAAAATAAAATAAACAGCTATTTGGTTCATAGCAACTGTTCTGATGTAATTTCTATTATACAACTAACTCCGAGGAAATCTTTTAAGATGTACTTTATTCGTGTGGAAAATTTCTCGAAGAGATAATATCCACTAAAAATGTCTGCAGTGTCAATAAGCCCTGTTTCTTTATTTTTTTTTTTCATTTCTGTCAATTCAAGATAAATTCTTAATTTTATCGACAAATTGAATTTTTCTGCTAGTACTATTTTGTAAAATTCAGTATTATTTGTTGTTCATATCGCTATGCTACTTACCCTCAACCCAGGTACCCGTTGGTGTGAA